GTTTGTCTGTTTCTGTATTATTTTACGTGCACAGTAACCCTGCCTTTATAACCATGAGCCAGAGCTGACAGGTAGATCACCTCCGCTCTGCTTCCTCCTGCAGCTTCAACCGGCTGGACCTGCCGCCCTACAGGAGCCTGGAGCAGCTCAGAGAGAAGCTGCTGTTCGCCATCGAGGAGACGGAGGGCTTCGGCCAGGAGTGAGCAGGAGGAGCCGGGAGTCCACGGATAGTTTCTGTTATTGTTCTTATTTTGTGAACCACAGGGCTGAGGACCACCTGCAGCCCCTCACCTGGGCGGAGGAGGGAGGGTCCGGTACAGGTGGAGGCGACGGAGGAGGAGGAGTGTGTGTGTGTGTGTGTGTGTGTGTGTGTGTGTGTGTGTGTGTGGTCGCTCACCTTAACGCCATTGTGTATATGCATATAAACGGTGTGTGTTTGTTTGACCGGACGGCACCGACACCCCCACACCTCTGCTTAGAACCGCACCAGAACCAGACGACATGATAGTTTTAATGTCGGCAGCGACTCACAGCAGCAGCAGCAGCAGCAGCAGCAGCTACCCGCTAATGCAGTATAACATATCTACAGATTTTAACATGAGAGAGAGCGAGTGGCATCACCGAGCGGCCCGATACCAGGACGCGCAGATGAGATGTGATTTTATTTTTTATTCTTCTGTTCATTGTGAAATTCAGCATTTTTCTCCTGTACATAACTAAAATAAATGAGATTTCAGTCTTGATGTGTGTCGGCGTCTTTTATTTTGGTAACCTGCTGAGTTCTAACAGCAGGGTTGTGTTTTACCAAAAATACTGTTAAAAAAGACAAATCTGACGACTGAGCTTCACCAGCAGGATGATAAAACCGCTGCCAGAACATTTCCTTATTGTTTTAGGTTAAATATTTTTACCTTGGTTTCTGAAACATCCAGTCGTCCTCAGATGTGTTCGTCTCCTTCTATTAAAGAAAAGACAAAACTCACAGCAGTCCCTCAAATAACTAGAAACTGGAAAAAGTAATAATAAATAAAAATGTGCTAAATTATAATTTAGTGAACTGAGACGTTGCTTTGAATTGTGTTGAAAAGAATAATTTTTAAAAAACGAACTGTGGTGGTCCAATGAGAGGCCTTTGCTGATGAGCAGTGGACCAATGAGAGGCCTTTGCTGATGAGCAGTGGACCAATGAGAGGCCTTTGCTGATGAGCAGTGGACCAATGAGAGGCCTTTGCTGATGAGCAGTGGACCAGAACACCTGTCAACAGGTGCAGAAGTCTGACTGAGAGTCACAGAAACACCTGATGGCAGTGATTGGCTCAGAGGCTGGTTCAGCTAGATAGTAGTCTACGGGTCCCATCAGGCTGGTTTGGTTGTGTGTTGTTGTTTTGTTTGTTTTTTTCTTTTATATTTCTGTTGAACCACAGTTCAAAAACAACATCATGTCATTTAAAAATCTATTAAATTCAGAGTGGAAAAAAAGACATTTCAAGTAAAATTAGCAAAGGCTCTCCTTATAATATATACAAAAATAAATAAAATAAAAATAAATAAATAAAATGTTTTTTAAATAAAATAAGTAGTTAAAATAACTAACAAAAGATTAACTAAATTAAAGTATCTAAATAAATATGATAACTAAAGTTAAATGAAATACGATAAGACAAAAAATAAAGCTAAGCTGAAATAACTTTTTTAAGTATATAAAATGAATAACTAAAAAACATTAAATTAAATTGTTAATAAAAAATGGCTCAAATAAAGTAACTATCCAAAGTTAAGCATAAATTAAATTAATATAATAAAACATAAAGTAAAATTAAAATAAAATAAAGTAAAATAAAATAAAATAGCTAATATAACAAAAACGAATAATTTGAAGTTCTTGGTAAATAAAGGACTTTTATTTTGAAACTTACTCGTGTCTTCGCTCGGCCCGGAAGTACCTTCGTCGTTTTTTTCCGGAATCCTCCGAGCAGCTCCGCAGTCCAAACTACCTCAAGCACCGATTGTATAATGTCTAAAATGCACTTATAAATAACCTAAGGCCCGTTACTGACGTTCATGTGTTCCGGCCCGGTTCGGTCGAACATGCTGGACCCGGATGAAGTCTCCCGGTTGTGCTACGAGCGTTTCCAGCAGCTTCCCCGCAGAGGGAAGCCTGAGCCGGGCAGAGAGTGGACCCTGCTGGCCGCGGTGCTCCAGGTCACCCGGACGGAGAACTCCGGCTCAGGTCGGTCCAGAAACAACCGGCACCGGTCTGATTCAATCCCTTTATGTCACCAGTAATAAAATATAACCGGACACAAAACTAGTGTTTATCTAAACTTTATTATTTTACAATGGCTATTAAACTGTTAAGCTAACTTTAAGCTAGGTTAACTTTAAATTAGGTTAACTTTAAGTTAGATTAACTTGAAGCTAGGTTAACTTAAAGTTAGGTTAACTTGAAGCTAGGTTAACTTTATATTAGGTTAACTTGAAGCTAGGTTAACTTGAAGCTAGCTGATTTTACTGCTATGATTTAACATTTAGTAAAGTTATAAATAATCNCAGCAGGTCCAGACAGATGGAACAAGAAATGTTCTCTGAAGTCAGGTTAGATCCTCTCTGAGCCATGTTCTGGTCTGAGCAGCAGCTTTCAGTGAAGTGAGTCTGTATGAACCAGTTAGATCCAGTCAGCTCTCTGCTCACCTGTCGTGTTGTAAAAACACCGTCACTGTAAAACATCAACGTTTTATAACACTTTAAAACTGTCAAAGTTTTTAAAACAATTTTCTGCGACTTCATCGATTTTCCCTCTTTAGTTATTTTTCAGATATTTTCTGTCACAGTTGTTGAACGTCTCATTATTTTACTGAATTTTATTGTTTTTTTCTGTCAGATTGTCACAGTTGTTTTGTCGTTGGATGTTTTTTACAGTGTGGTTCCACCCAGATTCAAAGGTCTCCATCACACCACTAAGAACCTTTGACCACAGATATACAGGCTCTATAAAAGTTATCCACTGTTATTGCTTTACAACACTGAATCAAAAACAGGATCATAAACATGCTTTGGCTTTTCAGACAAAGTGTCAAAGTGGAAAAACATTTCTACAATTTAATATGAAGTCATTCAAAATATAAAATATAAAATTAGTTTTTATGTAAGATGAGTGATGGAGGCCACCAAGACTCCTGTGACTGCTCTGAAGGAGTTTTCAAGAAGGAGACCAGTGAGACTAGACCCACCACCCAGACAGCCCATTGTTCAAAGAACCCACCATCCAAAGGACCCACCATCTAGAGGACCCACCATTCAGAGATCCCACCACTAGAGGACGCTGGCTCTGGTTGGCTCGGGGGTCTCCTGAAGTAGCTGAGAGGTACCAGCTGGTTAAAAGGGCTGCAGCTGCTGCAGTTGTGGAAGCTGAAACTCAAGTGTAAGAGAAGTTCAGAGAGACTATGGAGAAGGACTTTCAGTTGACCTCAAAGAAGTTCTGGCAGATCGTTCAACACCTCAGGCAGGGAGACCAGGCTGTGGACAGTCGAGGAGGAGCTCTGTTGATCTGGACTGGGAACACTGTGGAGCGGTGAAAAGAGCACTTTGAGGAACTCCTTAACCCGGTTAACATGTCCTCTGCTGAGAGGGCAGAACCTGAAGAGGTTGCCGAGGTAGTCAAGGAACTCCTCAGAGGCAAAGCGCCAGGTGTGAATGAGATCCGCCCCGAGGTGCTGATGGTTCTGGACATTGTTGGACCATCTTGGCTCACACATCTCTTCAGTGTTGCGTGGTCATTGTGTACTTTACCTGTGGAGTGGAAGACCAGGGTGGTGGTTCCCATTTTTAAAGAGGGATGTGCTCCAACTATCNAAGCTAGGTTAACTTGAAGCTAGCTGATTTTACTGCTATGATTTAACATTTAGTAAAGTTATAAATAATCAAACTTAAATTCAGTAGTTGAGATAAACCATGTTTCTGTTGCCGCTGCAGGAGATGGAAATCTACTTGAAGCACCAGTTCATTTAGTTTAAGCTTAAAAATAGACAGAAACCAGTACAGTCCAAATAAAACTGTCAAATGAGCAGAACGTGAATGTTCTGTGTAACTGGATTCATTGTTACTGTGTTCGGTTGGATCATGTGGACAGAACCACAGGGTTCATGTTCTGCTTCTGTTCACCACATCAAACCCCATTTCTCTCTTAACCCTCGTATCCGAAGCATTTTTGGTGATTTTAGTGTTTTTATTTCTATCAGTTTTTTATTTAAGATAATTCTTTATTGATGAGTTCATTTATTTATTTATAGTGAAATGTAGAAATGTTTTCTTCTCTGTTTCCATGGTGTCTTTATGGGACTTTGTCTTTCAGATCTGTTGGTAAACTCTGGATTTAAACGGTGATATAAATATAAAAATAAAGTCAATAACAATAAAGTACAGACTCTTGAGAAAACGACTTTTCAGCCCTGATTAGAGACAAACTCCGATTCCAGGTTCAGGAACGTGTAGAAAAGCTGAATGTAAAGATGAGATGAATCGATGTTTTTACTTCTGTAGTCGAGAAGGAGGTCGTTTCCATGGGAACCGGCACCAAGTGTATCGGACGGACGGCGGTGAGTCCCAACGGTGAGTTCTGCTCTGATGTGCTGAGCTCTGAATATCCTCTGAGTCTTTGTGTCCTTTGAGTCTTTACACAGTTCAAAGCAGAGATCGCTGCAACCAGAAGTCTGTTGTGGAGAAATCTCTCGTCCAACACGTCGTCCAGAAGAATGAATCAGACACTTGACTTGTGAACACACGAGTCCTTCTGCTCCACCGTCTCTGATGTTTCTGATGTTTTGCAGCATAAACATTTATAGAACTAGATGTGAAGTTATGTTAAATACTTTCTGGGATTTAAAAAATAAATGAATGTCATGCCCAACAGCCCACTTCCAGCAGGTTTAGATCAGAGACTGTTTAAGCAACAACATCTGAGGAACTATTGAAGATCTCATCATGTTGTCTGGTTTAAAATGTGCAGTATTGGTAGATCAATAATCTCTGATTGTGGGTGAGTGGAAACATGGAATACAGACATGGAAGCATTCAAGTACAGTAACAATAAAACCTGATGATTCAGACGTGAACTGGTGATGTGCTCTGAGCCACATGCAGCTGCAGCTCACAGTCATGCAAACTAGACATTAGACTAGTTTGATTTAACCTGAAGGTCCTTTAAACGGTGTGAGAACATCCTTTAAACCATGTTTGTGTTTATTTCAGGTGACGTCCTGAATGACAGCCATGCAGAGGTCGTTGCCAGGAGAGGCTGCATCAGGTGAGTCTCCACCTGCTCACAGGATGCTTCACTCACACACAGACGCCCAGTTTGTGCTGCTGACGCTCTGTGTGTGTGTGTGTGTGTGTGTGTGTGTGTGTGTGTGTGTGTGTG